TTGTGCATCAATTTTAGATATCACATTTGCATTATAGTTCACATCCCTACAAAAGTATTTCAGTTCATATACACAGCTACTACATACATACAAAAGTATTTAGCTATTACATACACCCAAAAAAACTTCAGTTCATACATACAAATGTGTTTCACATCCGCAACTCATATTAATCGGCGATCGGTTCGTTGCAAGTTGCTCGGTTGTGGCAGTCGGTTCGTTACAAAAGTGTTTCACATCCGCCTCCGCTGTCGCTGTTCTTCCCTTTGTCCCTCCTCATCCCTCCAACTATCCTGCTCCAGCGGCGGGCCCCACCCTCTACTGTCGATCGCCGACCATCTCCGAGTCCGATATACCATTCGATACAGATCCGAAACCCAATAACCCGATAATCCCCATCTACCGCCCTTTGACTTCATCCTCATCGGCATTTTCTTCACTGAGTTGGATAGTAGATAAATTCACAAGCCATATAGCTAACCGCCTGCAAGTGTAAACAGATACGCCCATGATTTACTCGGGAAATATTACATTATCAATTTCACATAAGGCTTCAATTTTGGAGTTGCTTACTCTCTTAGGTTCACCATTTTTGCCTCCAATGGTGGTGGAGATGATGTGTTCTGTTACCAGATCATTAGACTACGTCATAGTCTGCTCCTGCAAAAATAAAAATGAAAAAAGTTGGTATTTACAAATCTGCATAAAGAACAGATCTTTGCTCTTAAACTCATAGAAGCTATTACGGGAAAGAAAAGGAGCAAGATTCGAAACAAAGAAAATATCAAAAGAAAGCTTTTTTTAGATTAGGTATTGTAGATCCAACTAGAAAAGGAATCCCTAGATCAGAACAAGGAACGAATCTTACTCCCTCAAATCATGGCTGGTAGAGAGGCAGAGGACATGGATATGACGGGGAGTAGGACGCGATTGGGATCAGTGGTGGGGAGACGGTCGGATAAGTGGGCCCCGTGGTGGACGAAAGAGCGGTGGGCGATGGAGCGGTTGGAGATGAAGATGTTGGACCGGGAGGTGATGCAGAGTGTGAGGATCGGGTTGTGGTCTCCATGGAAAAAAGGACAGGCAGAGAAGGAGAAGGAGAAGAAGAAGAAGAAGGGTAGTTTGAGGTTTTTTGGATTTTTTTTCTCTCTTGGGAAGTGGAAATAGGCCTGGATCACATCTTGAGAAGTGTAATTGGGGCTAATACACATTAGAAAAACTACAGTGGGCTGGGACACATCTAGATTCCATTTTTGGGGCCTTGAAGTAATTTTCCCTATACTTTTACATACTTGCATACAAAATATTAAAATTTTTAATTTGTATATATCAAACGTCATGTAACATATTTGTTTATCGGATTAAATCATCGATGTCCAATTTGTTTATTCTAGTCATTAAATATAGTATTGAAAAAATACAATAATATATTGTTGATGTATTAATAAAAATATAACCAAATACTTAATATTAAGATGGCTTATATAAGCATAGCACAGAGCACATACTTTTTACAAGACTGGAAGACATCTTAATCATTGATAAACTTAAAATAAAAAAATAAATATTAAAGATTAATTGTGACTCTAGTATAATTTTATATGACAAATTCATTCACATAAGCGTATTAAAAACTTTGCATGAAAATCCCTTCTAAAGGTTTCTAATTTTACTCAAAAATTAAGTTTTACTATAAAATATTCAAAAAATATTATCCTTTATTCATTCTTTATTCATATTTAATTGAGACGAGATCAATCATTCTCCACCTTTATCTTTTTCCTGGGCAATTCTACAGCAGTACCTTCATCGTCTACATCAATTATGATATCATGTTGGTATATAATAAAGAGTAAAAGATAAGACAAGAGTCTAGAAAAATATTAGGATATACTTAGATCAATCAAATTATATTATTACTTATAATTGATATGCATTAGAGACAAAATGTGTTGACAATCTTAACTATAAAACAGACTATTTGGACCCTCTAACATAACTTTTTTAATGCAAGCAACACTCGAGACTAATTTTAAAAATCTCTTGGGCCAAGAATAAACACTAACAGGTTTGCAGTGGAAGATAGGGAAACATAATACATTTTAAAGAATTATTAATCTTTACTTAATTTATTTATAATGACAGGATCTCATTATTAACTAACTACAATGCCTAGTATTTTTTTTTATTGGGCGTTCAAGGCAAGCAGAGGACCTAGATGAGCCCTTATCGCAATGAATGTTATACAATTTAAGTACAAAGGAAAAGGAGGGTTGATCAATGGTTTAGTTTGTGAGGGATAAACTCCAGCAGCTTAATTTGGGTATGCGGATATATATTATAGATGGAGATGGAGAATAGTGGTTTTGAAAACAATGATGTCTGGGGGTAATTAATATGGCTTTTATTTGTGTGGTTTTCTTCGTTCATTTTTGAGATATCTGTGGTCTTATAGATATTTATAGCTATAGCATTGCTACTCTCTTTTGATTTTGTGAAAGAGTTTGAGTGTAAAAAAAAATTAAATTATCTAATCCGGTTAAAGTAGGATCATATAAGTTAAGCCTATACATAAAATTTATTTTACTCAACACCTATATATAAGTATTACAATTGGTATTAAGATCTAAGATACGTGTGAGATTCTCTTTGACTTTTATACAAACAATGTCTATTTAAATAATAATAATATAATTAAACTTTGTGATCTGGAAAAAAATCAAATATACAATATAATTAACTGCTTTAAAATAATCTAATCCGATCTAATTTAATAAGAAGAAAATAGATAGAAGCGATGTGAAAATTGTTACAATTTTACAATTCATAATTTTTAAACAATCTAATATTATCTAATAAGAAGAAAATAACAAAGATACATACATGTCGAAGGAGATGAAAGTGCTATGAAAAATTATTGTAATTTCTAACCGGAAAAAGATTAAACATATAATATAGTTAATTGCTTTAAAATAATCTAATCTAGTCTAATAAGAAAAAAAAATAGATAAAAGTGCTGTGAAAATTGTTACTATTTTATAATTTATAATATTTAAACAATCTAATCTAATCTAATAAGAAGAAAATAACAAAGGCACACACCTATAGAAGGAGATGAAAGTGCTATAAAAATTATTATAATTTCTTGGCTTATATATATTGGTATGCGATGTTGCATGTGAGAAGATAACATTGTAAATAGAGTTCTATTTAAATAATAATAGTATAATTACATCCGAAACATATAAAATGCGGTTAATTCTAAACTTTGAAACTAATTATGTAGTACTATGAACTATTTGAATTTTAGTTAGTGAGAGATTGTCACGTAGTGTCCTCAGTTCGTACCCGTTTATTTTAATTTTCTTTTTTTTTATAATTTTGAGAACGATTTTTGTCTCTTTAATTTCTTTGGTGGATTTCACAAATATCTCGTCCACACTATGTACATTTAGATCTGTGCTATTTCTGGGTTCGACCTTTGGGGTAGACATTATTTATCTCGTTAATTTGTTTTGTTTTTGCATATACGTCATTCATCTTGTATACATTTGTAAATTTGATATTTAATAATTTCATTAAGGTTTATATTTTAATTTAAACTATATCCTTATCTTCATACTATAAATATGTAATAAGAATTCATCAATTTATCAACTTACTATTACTTAATAGAAGAGTATTTTTGTTTATCGAAATTTTTTTACGAACTCGTGCTTTTAAAATGGAGTACGATTCATTGTTCACTTCTAATAAAAAGACAAAGTATCAGATTATCCTAAAAAATATCACTTATTTATCACTTCGGCTTAAAAAATAAACTCAAGGACACTTTAACATAAAAAAAATCACAAATTAACCACGCACATGCGTTTCCAAAAAGCCCGTTTTATGGGCCCACATGTTATGGATTCTTGTTTAACTGCGATAAGGGTCCGTTTGTTTTGATTTTTTTGAAGAGGAAAGCTTAGGGGTGTGCAACGGTCGGTTCGGCTCGGTTTTTACTAAATTTTGAACAACCGAACCGAACCACTTATAAATCAAAACCGAACCGAACTGTTGCAAGTCGGTTCGGTGCGGTTCGGTTCGGTTTGTTCGGTTCTATAAATCAAAACCGAACCGAACTGTTGCAAGTCGGTTCGGTGCGGTTCGGTTCGGTTTGTTCGGTTCTTACTTCATCAAACTTCTTATCAAACAACAAACTGTGTTAAAGAAAAAAAGATATCAACAAAGTAGGAGATTATGAAACATTAAACACTGATATAATGATATTGTTTTCAACCCATAATGATTCAAAAAATGAGTTTAGGGTTTGAGTTTTTGACTCTTTTGGGACGGGTCGGGTAGGGTTTGAGATCAGAATTGGTAGTATTGCACTATATTCGGTCGGTTCGGATCGGTTCAGGTTGAAAAGTTTTCAAACCGACCCGAACCACCCCACTCATAAAACCGATTTTTTCGGGTCGGTTCGGGTCGGTTTTTTCGGTTTGGACCGAACCCTGCTTAGCCCTAGGAAAGCTTCCCAAAACTGTCAGTTTTGACAGGTTTTCTTGCAAAAACTGTCTTTTTAGAGGCGTTTTTATAAGAAAGTCTGTCAAAACTGACAATTTTTGTCAGTTTGACCGCTTTCACACCACTTTCCTCTTAAAAAAAAGGGCTTTTTGTTTTTAGGTCCATTTGTTTACCTAACTTTATCTTTAAACCCAAGAATTTTTAGTTGTATTTTTAAACCCAACTTTCCTTTTGTTTTTATCTTTAAACTCAATTTCCTTATATAGGGGGACCCACATATGAGAGTATTATATTTTGGAATTGGGTTTAAAGATAAATACAAAAAGAAAGTTGGGTTTAAAGATACAACTAAAAATTCTTGGGTTTAAAGATAAAGCTAGGTAAACAAATGGACCTAAAAACAAAAAGCCCAAAAAAAAATCAAAACAAACGGGCCGTACTGAGCTGACGTCAAAAGGTCCCAAACAAAGTAAAGCCAGTCCAATAATTATTCCCGTCTTCTTCAAAAAACCCATCGCCGATCCACACGCAGTCTCAGTCTCAGTCTCAGTCTCCGATGTCGACGTACGCGATGACGACGACGACGACGAAGATGAAGTCGCCGCTTTTTTTCTACCTTCTCCTCCTCTTTCTTTTCACTCTCTCACCTAACCGAGGTCTGCTTCCAACTGCACCAGTAAAGGGAAAAGCTTAAAATTTTTAACCTTTTCAACTCACGAGGTTATTATTATTATTATTTTTTGCAGCTGATTGTAAGTTGGAGTTGGAATTAGGCTACTCAGTGTCCACAGTCATCGATTTCAACAAATACAGGCTCATCCCCGACAAAATCCACCCCTTTTCTCTCCTACCACGCCATCGATCGACTGATCTCCTCCTCCTCGATTCCACCGACTCCGTCTTCTACTCTCTCCCCATCCCAATCTCTCAGGGTAAAGATTGGTTCTTTGCTGTTCTTCTTAGTTTTATTTTAGGGTTTGTTTTTGCGCTTTAATACCCCAAAGTTCCTTCCTTTTTTAACTTTTATGATACCATCAACTTCTATTTTGACAGTTTGAAACCCCAAAGGCCTAACCGTGTTCCCAAATTCAAAAATCTGAAATTTGGGAAGGAAATTCTTTACTTGAATAAAATTGCTGTCAAATTTTTTTTTTTGCACTTTGGGGGTATCAAATTGTCAAACTTTGGGGATTAAAGCGCAAATGGACCTTTATTTATATATGTTCTGGGATGGTATTTGATGCAGAGAGTGAGGTGAGTGTTCTGGCTGGGAGAGGTGCTGCTGGGTTCTCTGATGGGGATAAGACGGCTGCCATGTTCAATAAGCCTCGTAGCTTTGCAATTGACGGGAAGGATAATGTTTATGTCGCGGATAAGATCAATCATGCCATTCGCAAGATTAGCACGTCTGGTAGCATAATTTTTACCTTCTTTTGTTATACTCCTGTTGTTATTTCTTTTCTTGATTCAGAGGTGACTTGAAACTGAGAGAATATGCCAAAACCAAACACATACTATAGTGGTTGGGAAAAGCCTTGATCTTGTTGTTCATTAGCAGCATGTTATTCTTTGATGCTATCTCATTTCATTTGTGTCTAATTATATGAGCATCCTTCTTAAAACAATTTTGCTCTATAAGAAGTCATGCATTATTGATGGCAACCGAGAATCTTGCTACTTATGTTAACAACAACAACAGAAATAACACAACAAAGCCTTTATTCATATTTTTGGGTTCACTGCATGAATTATTTCCTTCAGCTTTATTAAATACTAGGATTACCTCAGGGCCTCGTTTGGCTCCATTTAATGTCAATGTAATTGCATCACGTCTGCTAGCTGACACAACATATTCTTAACCTTCTCAATGAATTCTCCCTCATTTCCTCCTTATTGAACAATCTCTAATTGTTAATACATCTCTTGTGGGTAATATATGAAACAGCATGATAAGAAAACTAGAAGTATCACACTTCTATTGAGTGATGACTGCAGAAAGAAGGGAAGAAAGAAAGAAAAAGCCTTAAAAGAGCATGGGAATTTAAATGGACTTCTTCTTAACACTTTTGGTCTTTGATTCTAACCTCCTAGCAACTTGTAATCTATCTTTTCTCCTGCTTTTATCATTGTGATATATTTCCAAGAAATTTCTTGCTCTCGTTTTCCTAGGTGTCAATTTTATATCTTTGTGCATGCTTATTTGCATTCTGACTTGTTAGGATTATGATTTGTTAATGGGTTATCTTGTTAATCTTGTTTCTGATTCTTCTTTATATGTTGGTCTTGTTAGTGGGTTATCTTGTTGGTTTCATTTTTTATATTTCAAAATAGTAACCTTCTCGTCACATTTATTTACCTAGGTATGACTACCACAATTGCTGGAGGCTATTCACAGAAAATGGGCAATATTGACGGGCCTGCTCAAAACGCATCCTTCTCAAATGATTTTGACCTGGTTTATGTTCCCACAATATGTGCCTTGCTGATCTCTGATCGTGCAAATGGGTTGATTCGGCAATTGGATTTGAAGCCAGAAGATTGCGCACAGAGAACACAAGCAGGTATGCATATTTGAGATATTGTTATTGCTAAAGGATACAATCTAATGTTCATATAACCATCTCATATTTCTATAGAATTATCATTTATTCCTAATGCAAATTACTTGACTCATCAAATTCTATATTAGGGGCAGTGTTTTAAATATCGGCCGCCATGTCGGACATGGCGGCCGATATGGCGGAGGGGACATGTCGGAAAATATCGGGTATGTCGGGCGCCATTGCGGCCAAGAAATATCGGCCAAATTTCAGAAAAAGCGGTTTTAAGCTTATTGGGTCAAGTTTGAAAAACCCGACTCGGAAATCAGGTGTCTACAATTGGTTAGTGATCTTAACATCAATAAGTTATGTACTTTTTCATATGTTTAGACAATATAATTATCATGTATGTGAAGATTCTATTTATAATTTTATATCACCTTATCCGATATGGCAATCCGATATTTTTTTTCATGTCCCCGATATATCCCCGATTTCCGCTATCCGACATGAATTTTGGCCAACCGACATGAACCCGACATCCGACATTTAAAACATTGATTAGGGGTTTTTGTTTTTTAGCCCAAAGTTATATCCCCACTTGTTTATAAACCCATTCAGTTTCATAAATATTTATGCACCTAAGATATATCCTCCCACTTATTTTTAAACCCAATCCTTATAATGTAAGGTATTTATGCATAGTATTTCTCAAAATTCCCAAAATACCCATCCTTTAATCTGTAAATAGATCTACGAATCTCAAAACAAAGGAAATGACCCTTCTCTTGGCTTCATTCCCCAATTTCTTCCGACAATCCCTAACTTCCAAGGTTCTCCAACTCCTTGCAAGGATATTCGTCGGCACCCTCCATGGCTACTTTGAGTTTTTTCCCCTCTCCGGTTCTTTTTTCTGCCACCGCCGACGCCGCTAGACGCCATGGGCAAGGGCAGGTTGTTAGGAGTGACATAGTGGGGCAATTGATAGCGGCAATGCTGGTGGTGATATGGCGGCAGCATTTAGGAACACGGCTTACAAGAGGCTATCGTTAGAGGAGGCAGCGGTAGCTATGACGTTAGATACTGGCTTATGGGTCAGTCATCACTGGCACCGATGCAGTAGCCCATGAATGATGGGTTTTAAGGGCTGCCACCGAACTTGATAAATAATGTGTAGTTGCCTGCTGAGGCTTATGGTTGGGTTGTTGTAGGAGGAAGAGATCCTTATTAGAGCTTGTTGAGATTGTTCTTTAGGATTTTTTATCTTTTCTTCTTCTTCATTCATTTATCATTTTATGGGTTTTAGTTCTTTTTTTCCTTTTTTCTTTTTATTGTTAATCTGGAACATGTTTGCTAGTAACATTGGAGAAGTTTGTACAATTCTATAAATTCTTGGTTCTTTTATGATGATAAGAGTTTGTGATGGTATTACCGCAACAATTAAGTACCTTGGGAGCTATTGCAGTACTACAATTCTTCATAACTGACATAGTGTAGTACCTTATTTATACAATGTCTGATCAAAGTGTAGCATTTTATGCCAAAGAGTCACCTTATTTGGAAAGTGTAGCTCCTTACATAATTATATAGCTCTTTATAGCAGAAGTATAACTCTTTATTGCTAAAGTATAGCTCTTTATTGTTTCTGAAAATGCAGAAAATAAATTGAGTAATTTTTTTGATCAATGAAAATGGGTGATCATGTATATAGTTATTTATTCAATTCTAAATGCTTATACTTTATCAATAAACTGATATGATTTATTTTACCAAGTTTCAAAATTTTAAGAGACCATAAAGATAAAGAGCTATACTTTATCAATAAATAGCTATACTATGATCATAAAGAGCTGTACATTGGAATAAAGAGCTATACTTTCACAAAAAGGTGCTACACTTTAGTATAAAAAGCTATACTTTTCCAAAATTTAAAAAATTGAGAGTGAACCTCTCGTCGACATGAATAATCGATCGAACAACATATGGTATACATCATCACACGTTTACATTGCTCAGAAAAAATTAATTTTATTTATTTCACTAAGTTTCAGAATTTTCAGAGAACATAAAGAGCTATACTTTATCAATAAAGAGTTGTACTATGGTCATAAAGAACTATACGTTCACAAAAATGTGTTACACTTTAGTATAAAGAGCTATACTTTTTTGAAAACAGGGGAAAATTGAGAGTGGACCTCTTGTTGACAAGAATAATCAACCGAGCAACGCATTATGTACATCATCACATGTTTACATTGCTCAGAAAAAACTAATTTGATTTATTTCACCAAGTTTTAAAATTTTCAGAGTACATAAAAAGCTATATTTTATTGATAAAGGACTATACCATGGTCATAAAAAGCTATATTTTGGAATAAAGAGCTATACTTTCACATAAAGGTGTTACACTTCAGTATAAAGAGCTATAATTTTTCAAAAATTGGAAAATTGAGAGTGAACCTCTCGTCGACATGAATAATCGATCGAACAACACATACATCATCACACATTTACATTGCTAAAAAAACTGATTTTATTTATTTCACTAAGTTGTAGAATTTTCAAAGAATATAAAGAGCTATACTAATTTGTCAATAAAGAGCTATACTTTGGAATAAAGAGTTATACTTTCACAAAATGTGCTACATTTCAGTATAAAGAGCTATACTTTTTTAGAAACTAGAAAATTTGGAGTGGACATCTCGTCGACGTATACATCATCACATGTTTACATTGCTCAGAAAAATCTGATTTGATTTATATTCAGTGTCCAAAATCACCACTACCCAAAATCAACACAACATGAAACAATGAAGTACATAGATATGAAACAATCAAGTACACAGATCTGCGACAGTGGTCTTTTCTCCTTCGTCTGAAAGTTGAACTGTTTATCATTGACTTGAACCAAAATAAGAGCGAGAGAGGTGTGTGGAGCTAAAATAAGAGCGAGAGGGTGCGTTTATACAAACTAGAGAGATTTAGGACAATTATTTTTAGGATTTTGAGATTGATTTGGGGGTTTTGAAGTTTGAGAATCAATCTTAGGGCTCTACGGGAATCGCTCTATTTGGGAAAGTGAAACGGAGGAGAGAGAGAGGGAGAGACTAGTTGTATTTGGGGATGAGGGGTAGTTTAGGATTTTTTGATTTATTGGGTAATATAGTCTAAAGAATGAGTGTATTATGCATATTGGGTTTAAAAATAAGTGGGATGAGATACATTGGGTGTATTGATGTTTGGAAAAGTGGATGTGTTTTTAAATTAGTAGGGGTAAAACTTTGGGTTAAAAGAGAAAAACCCATATATATTAATGACATCATCAGGCTAGTATATGAAGAAATTCTTCAACAGTTTTATGATATTCAATAAATTTCTTGTACTTTTGATCGGAATTAATGAAAATTGTTTTTGGCGTAACTTGATCTACATCGGGTTGACATGTGATTGACTGATAGTTAGAAAGTATGAATGACTCGTACAAGAATATTCATTCAACTCCAGTAGGTATTTGTTAAGTATTGGGTATTGGGTTAATGGGCTGTTACCCGTTAACCTTAACCCTATTTGTATGGCTATATATATCTCTCTTGTTATTCTCAATAAACAACAATTAGGGTTTTCTCAATTTTCTACACGGTATCAGAGTATGAAATCCTAGCCGCCACAAATCCTCATTCAAAAACCCTAGTCGCCGTCGCCTCTTGGTTAGTGATCTTAACATCAATAAGTTATGTACTTTTTCATATGTTTAGACAATATAATTATCATGTATGTGAAGATTCTATTTATGATATTATATCAACCTATCCGATATGGCAATCCGATATTTTTTTTCATGTCCCCGATATATCCCCGATTTCCGCTATCCGACATGAATTTTGGCCAACCGACATGAACCCGACATCCGACATTTAAAACATTGATTAGGGGTTTTTGTTTTTTAGCCCAAAGTTATATCCCCACTTGTTTATAAACCCATTCAGTTTCATAAATATTTATGCACCTAAGATATATCCTCCCACTTATTTTTAAACCCAATCCTTATAATGTAAGGTATTTATGCATAGTATTTCTCAAAATTCCCAAAATACCCATCCTTTAATCTGTAAATAGATCTACGAATCTCAAAACAAAGGAAATGACCCTTCTCTTGGCTTCATTCCCCAATTTCTTCCGACAATCCCTAACTTCCAAGGTTCTCCAACTCCTTGCAAGGATATTCGTCGGCACCCTCCATGGCTACTTTGAGTTTTTTCCCCTCTCCGGTTCTTTTTTCTGCCACCGCCGACGCCGCTAGACGCCATGGGCAAGGGCAGGTTGTTAGGAGTGACATAGTGGGGCAATTGATAGCGGCAATGCTGGTGGTGATATGGTGGCGGCAGCATTTAGGAACACGGCTTACAAGAGGCTATCGTTAGAGGAGGCAGCGGTAGCTATGACGTTAGATACTGGCTTATGGGTCAGTCATCACTGGCACCGATGCAGTAGCCCATGAATGATGGGTTTTAAGGGCTGCCACCGAACTTGATAAATAATGTGTAGTTGCCTGCTGAGGCTTATGGTTGGGTTGTTGTAGGAGGAAGAGATCCTTATTAGAGCTTGTTGAGATTGTTCTTTAGGATTTTTTATCTTTTCTTCTTCTTCATTCATTTATCATTTTATGGGTTTTAGTTCTTTTTTTCCTTTTTTCTTTTTATTGTTAATCTGGAACATGTTTGCTAGTAACATTGGAGAAGTTTGTACAATTCTATAAATTCTTGGTTCTTTTATGATGATAAGAGTTTGTGATGGTATTACCGCAACAATTAAGTACCTTGGGAGCTATTGCAGTACTACAATTCTTCATAACTGACATAGTGTAGTACCTTATTTATACAATGTCTGATCAAAGTGTAGCATTTTATGCCAAAGAGTCACCTTATTTGGAAAGTGTAGCTCCTTACATAATTATATAGCTCTTTATAGCAGAAGTATAACTCTTTATTGCTAAAGTATAGCTCTTTATTGTTTCTGAAAAT